TTATAAACACACTTTATAAAGTCAGGCAACACTAACCAGGCTTCGTGTGATTCTGTTTATTTGTACCTTACTTTGACCATCCGTTCACTGTTATTGATCATTGTGGAGAGAGGCAGACGTGTTTTGTATTATAGCAGCTATCGGATGGAATCAATACATGGGCTGCACATTGTTGTCGTGTCCGACTATCACAAGTAGAATCATAATAAAAATACGCCGGTAAAATGTGCCTGTAGAAAACGGTTTATGCCACAATAGGATAGCAATAGCAAATAGTCAGTTTAGTTTCGGTTGCTATGCTAACATCACCCATTTTATACCAGAGAAACTTTCATAACAGCGTTGTGATACCAAACAGCGTCAATTCAGACTGACATACATTCACTTAGGCTAAGGCAGTGGTTCTCAAAGTGGGGGCGCGCCCCCCCAGGGGGACGCAGAGGCATGACAGGGGGGGCGCGAGGGACCAGGAGAAAATGTCTAAAAAAAATGTCTAAAAAAAAAAAATAATAATAATATTTTGAAAAATTATTGATTCGAAAATAATATGATACAGTACTATTACGTCTGGGTCTCTGTGTTTCATTAAAGCTCGGCTCTGTGTGTGTGTGGAACGAGCCATTTTGTGTGCGTGCGCGAGCGAGAGAGAGATGGCGCACCGGTACCGGAGATCGTTGTTGTTAGCTTCTGGTGCTAGCGAGCTACGCTAACGGATATAAGGAGTTTTTTCAACAACAAAGTGGAGGAGAGTCCTCTCCTGCCAGACTGAGAGACTCAGTGAGCTAAAGGACTCTCAGTGTTATCTCAGTGGGTCTCAAACGTTTTGGTCACCATTAATGTAAACAATTATTTCCGAGGCACACGTTTATATGATCATTATAGTTATAAAAAAATAAGAGAATGAATGAAAAACAAGTATGAAATACTATATGACAGTAAAACAAGAATAACGTTTAAAAGGGGAGTGATTTGCAAAATATCCATAAAGAAATAGTACATCTGTTTACAGTTCTGTTTCAAATGGATGTTGAGAGATGTATCCATAGATCTCTTCATTTTGCTCTCAAAGATACCAGATTGATGCTTTTAACTTCAATATTTAAAAATCTTCGCGGGGGAGCTTGCCCCAGGACCCCCCTATGTGAGGTCCACACACCACCTATAAAAATAGCACTTTACCCCTGCTTACACCTATATGCCGTGAGCTGATTATCGAGCCTTCATTGTAACAGTCGCGGGTACACTGTGTATATGTGTGGGGAGTGTTGCAGTAGAAAATTCCACTGTAGCGACCGGTACATTAATGGGAAACCCTAAATGTTTGAGCACCCTCTATGAAACGTCAAGCTACCCCACAGCTATGGGCTCAGAACAGTCTCATAATACACACATGTGCACAGAAGGATTCACACTTGTATTTCATGATCCGCAAAAGGATTCACACTTGTATTTCCGGATCCACACTTGTGTTTTTCAATGCACACACAAATGTATTCCGTTTCATATACATGTAAATAAAATCCAAATACAGAAAAAAGTTTTACATGTGTATTTTTGATCCTCACATATTTGTTTTCCGTTTAAAACCTCTGAACCTGCAAACACAAACAGCTTTCTGTGCACGGATCGCTGTGCATTCGTGTGTGGGTTTTTTGAGACTCCCCTGACGGTCAGCCGATTCGTACTTGTAATTATTTCTATCTATAGCCAATCAGATGTCTCCTCAATTCTAAGCCAATCACATGAGCGCGCCCCCACGAGGGTAGATTTATTGCGTTCATGACGTAGCGCTTCATGTACGCATTTTGCGCAGTCCGGAGTTGACAGATCTATGGAGCCTGCCTGCAGGCGCTAATCTCAGGACACCCTCCACTCTCAGTACAGCGCCACTTTCCGAACAGGAAAAGCACGCAAATACAAGCCTTTATATTATTAAGGTACAGCGCCACTTTCCAAACCATTGATGAATGCTTGTGTACACAAAAACGGCAGGCAAACCCGTTTTAAATGTGTGTTTCCTGTATGGCGAATACAGCTGCTTTATTTATGTCTGTATGAAGTTGTTGTGAGTGTGGAGGGAGCAGCTACAGGTTAGCTTAGCCTAATCGATCAGTGCCTTACGAAGCCAGTGCTAGACAGTGACCTGTTAACAGGGGGGAGCCCCGCCGGTCATTATCGGCCGATATTCACTCTTAATAGTTTGATCGGTGCTCTCTATAAAGGCCGATTAGGAGGGCTGGATCTGATCGATATGGACATAAACGCGAGTGAAGTATAACCGGACGCAAGAGAGAGATCAGATCAGCTGCTGAGTCTGATGGAGACACGCTGCTCTGCATGATCACCTGATGCTCCGCCCTCTGTTTAGCGAGCTGACCGGACTGCGCAAAATGCGTATATGAAGTAATCTTACCCTCGTGGGGGCGCGCTCATGTGATTAGCTTAGAATGAAGGAGACATCTGATTGGCTATAGATAGAAACAATTACAAGTACGAATCGGCTGACCGTCAGGGGAGTCTCAAAAAACCCACACACGAATGCAAAGTGATCCGTGCACAGAAAGCTGTTTGTGTTTGCAGGTGCAGAGGTTTTTAAACGGGAAACTAATAAGTGAGGATCAAAAATACATATGTAAAACTTTTTTCTGTATTTGGATTTTATTTACATGTATATGAAACGGAATACATTTGTGTGTGCATTGAAAAACACAAGTATGGATCCGGAAATACAAGTTTGAATCCTTCTGTGTGCATGTGTGTATTATGAGACTGTTCTGAGCCCATACACAGCACCCCCAAAATAAATCTCTGGCGCCGCCACTGAGCCTGACTATTTGTGTTGGGGGGGCCCGACTTATTTTTTTCTCCAAAGGGAGGGCCTGACAGAAAAAGTTTGAGAACCACTGGGCTAAGGGGAACTGGGGATATGTATCAGCTGCTTGTGTGAGTCGGACAGTGAATACTTTAGAGCGGCCGCTGCAATGTGAGCTAACCGGGAGCTAACGGAGGAGAATAAACTCCCGTGGAAGAGCAGCCAACACTGCAGCGGTCGGTAAATGCTGCAGAAACACATTAATAAACAATGAACCACGGCACTCTGGAGCAAAGTATAAGGTTGGAGAAGTCGTTATTCAATTTATTCTGGCTTCGTGTGATTAAAAGCAACATGATCATCGACCCGACGCAGTTCCCCGTTGTTGTGAGCGCCGTAATGCCGTTGGGGAGCAAATCAGCGATGTAAACAGTGACGTCATGACGCAGCAGCGGCAGCACCAGTCGGGTGCTGGGCGGTGTGAACAGAAAAGGGAAACCGGAGCTGAACCAGAAAAGCTCGGAGCTAGAAAGGGAAAAGCGCTGGTGTGAAAGCCGCATGATAGGCGGTTAGCTGCAATAAATAACTCCAGTTCAACAAACCATATTACAATATCTAAGGGAGCGTTATTTCTGGACCATCTTGAAATGTGACGTTCATATTTTAAAGATGCACCCATTTTATTGTGAGGTTGATTTAATATACACTAAGCCTCTCTTCAACAATACGTTGACGTTAGCTAGTCTATTTATGCTATAGTAGAGCATGGCGAATTGAAAATGAACCTTAAAGATCAAATGCAAAGCTTCCAAATATGCTACATTTTTATAGAAATGTTGTTTTTAAGACTGCCTGTATTTTTAAAAAAATTTAAATCGAGATAATACACCCGAAAAAAAGCTTTTTATTGATACAAAACTTGACCCAAAGCCGTCTGAATTTCTGACATGACCTCCCCAGCAGCCTCCGCGCGCGTGACGTCATTCATGCCAAACAGTCTCTGGACCAAACATCCCGACTCGGCAGTCTCGGTCACGAGTTTTTCGAAAAGAAAACTGAATTAACATGGGTTATTGTTGTGCTTTTTGTTGTACGAACGGTGCGGGATCTGGGAGAGTTTTTCATGTATTTCCCAAAGACCAAATCATCCGCAAAAAATGGATTTTGTTAGTGAATCGTGTTGGCTGGCAACCGACAAAATGGAGCAGGTTGTGTTCTGATCACTTCACGTGTGATGCATACGAGGTTGATCCTGCTATCATCAAGTCTGTTGGTGCAGAAGCATTAATAGTACGTCGGAGGCTGAAACCCGGAGCCGTCCCCTCCATATTTCAGCACAAGAAACCACTGAAAGAACGAAAGAGCCGGGCGATGGAGAAACGACAAAGAATTGAGGTAAACAACTTTTGATTAGATTTCAAAACGCACGGAGCACAGCAGATAACGCAGATAACGGAATTGCAGTTTTATTAAGTTTTATTGCTTATAGAGGTGGGCACCGTTAGATTATGTGTCTTTACGATCATAAACAATGTGTTGGATGTGGAGCTAGGATAAGTAATAAGGGAACTAGGAGTGATTTCGGTGCAGTAATAGGTTAGCATTTTTCGCTCGGGGCTAATTCACTGTTAGCATTGTAGTTTGTCTGCAGCTCATTCATCGCTCCTCCACTCATAACGGAAAAGTGTGAACAATATGCATTATGATAGGGATTAAATCCACTATTATTCCTCCTGCCACAATAAAAAATGCCCCCCGTGCAATTAAAAGTGACTGTGAGCACTTGGAAAACCCAACATTCTTCTAACCACTTCATTAGGCCATTGCATCAAAAAAGCCCTCCGCTATGCTTTCATTTCTTTCAGCCGAGTGGGTGCTTATAGAGGTGGGCTAAACCTCTCTAAAAAGGTCAAACGTCACTTGTTTTGCATCAATCTTGATACAGGGTACTTATATGTTATAGTTTTGATTCCTAAAGCTTTTAGTCTACTAACCCATCATTCAAGGGTGGTTTTCACTATAAGTAATGTTTTTTTTTTAGGCGTCCATCCAACAATTAATGTTCCCCTTTTACAAGTGAAGATATAGTCTTTGTTGTGTTAGTGGCATTTTAAAGCCTGAAACCTGACAAACAGGCTCAGGGCAGAATAGGTTAAAATATTCCTTCAAACAGGTGTTGAAAAGTTTGATGCAGGACACCAGCACAGACACTGAGGATCCTGCTATTGAGGGAGATACTGAAGTCGAGGAGATTGGGACAGAGGAGCCACACTCTTCTGGAGCCATGCCAACAGCTGAAATTGCAATTCAAACCGAAGTAGAGGTAAACAAAAGAATAAAGAACAAATCATCATGATGTAGTTGTTGTTCACATATATATACTAGTACCAATATCAGCCTTTTTGAATGGACTGTATGCCCTCTAATTTTACTGCTGTTGTAATACACAATCAAGATTGTTCATCTTGTAAATGTTCAATTTGTTATTTTCCAATTTTATTACAGCTGCAAAACCGTGCCACTCAAACGTACGACAGAGATTTTCCATCTCAGAAAAAAGCATCAAGGTCAAGGGGAACCTGTACTTTGGGCCTCAAATCTGGTTCGGACTTCGGACAACAGACTGCACTCCTCACCACAACGATCGGGACATCGTACGAGCCTCTTCCCATAGATCTTGATGAAGACAGTGATCATTCCGAAGATCAGTCTGGTGATGAGTCAGATGATGATCCTGACTGGCATTTTTCATGTGAAGATGCAACAACAGACCAGGATGATGGAGACACAGATGATGACAATACTGTGTAAGTACATGTAGATGTTCAGCAAATATCGTGTTATGTCTTATACATTGAGATCTTATTGGGATATAAATCCCATGGGGTGATATCAGATATTTAACGGCTCTGATATTGCTACTTATATTAATGCTACACTGAACAAAAATATAAATGCAACACTTTTGTTTTTGCTCCCATTTTTCATGAGATGAACTCAAAGATCTAAAACATTTTCTATATACACAAAATAATAATTTCTCTCAAATATTGTTCACAAATCTGAAAATGTCTGTGATAGTGAGCACTTCTCCTTTGCCGAGATAATCCATCCCACCTCACAGGTGTGGCATATCAAGATGCTGATTAGACAGCATGATTATTGCACAGGTGTGCCTTAGGCTGGCCACAAAAGGAGAAGTGCTCACTATCACAGATTTTTTCAGATTTGTGAACAATATTTGAGAGAAATGGTTATTTTATGTATATAGAAAATGTTTTAGATTTTTGAGTTCATCTCATGAAAAATGGGAGCAAAAACAAAAGTGTTGCGTTTATATTTTTGTTCAGTGTACATTCACGGGATTTATGACGGATAATACACTGATGACGTTATGTGTGATATCACTATTAGATCGAGGCGTAGATCTAATAGTGATATCACACCTCAGTGAAGACCCCTCTTGTATTATCTCAAACATATTAAAGTGTATTATGTAGCTATTATAAAGAGCGATGAGAGTCAGATGGCATATATGAATAACTGTCCAGTGTCCAGTCTCATTTCCGACGATGCCCTATTTCCACGTTTACAAATTTCAAATCTTATTTCAGGAAGAAAGAACTTTATGCAGATGCCTCGCCTCTGGAAGACCAAAAGTTCCTGGTCTATGGCAGTTGCCTGCTGAAGTTGCTGGCCATCTGCTCTGTGTGTTTCGCCACTTGTCGGGTCCAGCTCAAGCGCGTCATTGGGAGCATGGTGGTGTTTGAACAGTTGTGTGCACATGGCCACTCTAAGGTATGGGACTCCCAACCATGCTATGGAACAATGCCTGCAGGAAACCTTCAGATTGCTTCAGCCATTTTGTTTGGAGGGAACAGCTCTGTGAAGATTCTGAATTTGTTTCGATACATGAATATCCCAGCCATATCTCTGCGAACATATTCCCTGCTCCAAACCTCGTACCTGATTCCTGCTGTTGAAAATGTGTGGAAAAGAAAACAACAACATCACCTGGCAGCGTTGAAGGATCGGCCAGCTAAGTTAGGAGGAGACGGTCGCTGTTGTTCGCCTGGTCACACTGCAAAGTATGGCAGCTACACCTTGATGGACCTGACTAACTCCAAAGTGCTTGACACACAGCTAATACAGGTGAGTTAGATTTGGTTCAATCACTCTGTAATAACCTGATATCTGTGTATAATCATGCTCTGGTTCTATATCCATCCAGAGCAATGAAGTCAGCAGCTCAAACGCCATGGAGTTGGAGGGACTGAAGAGGGGTCTTCAAAAGCTGAAGGATGAAGGTGTCACCATAGCATCAATCACCACAGATCGGCATGGTTCTGTGAAGAAATATATGAGGGAGAAGGAGCCTTCAATTGAACACTGGTTTGATGTATGGCATGTAGCTAAAGGTAAGGTGCTATTTTACATAAAAACATACAGAAATAAACATGTGCTTTAAGTAAGCAAGATAAACGGTGTACTATTTTATTTAATACTGTAGGGATCCGAAAAAAGATTGATGCCAAAGGGAAGAGGAAGATCCTGAACATACTGCTGATGTGGTCCAAGTCCATCAGTCACCACGTCTATTGGGTGGCATCAACCAGCCAAGGTGACGGACCATTGGTTGTTAAGAAGTGGCTGTCGCTGCTCAACCATGTCATCAATGTCCATACTGGCCATGGACAGCTCTTTCAAAGCTGTGTACATGGTCCACTGGAACAAAATGATGAACGAGACTGGCTTATCAAAGGTACTTAAGACACAAATGTGTATACACTTACAAGGACACATTTTTGCATCCTTCCACAATATTTGGGGGAATCCAGTAGGGCTGCAACAAACGACTAATTTGATAATCGATTAATGAAACGATTAATCGACTATTCGGACTATTACTGTATGCCTTGCACAATTTCTCAAACGCTCTTATTTAGCCATCAACTTTTACATTTAGCTTGAGGTTGTTTTAGGCATGTGTAAAATAACAATGAAGACAATAAAGATGAATACTTGATTAAAAAATACATATTATCAAATTAACTAAACACATTTTGAACAAAATTAACATTGCTTTTTATTTAAATTAAATAAATAATATTTCACATCAAAAGAAACAACAATGTTTTAACAAATCGTATTAAATAATCTGATGACAGAATTGTAAACAGAATAGCTGAAACTTTAACAAAATAAATAACTCAGTTTCCTCTAATCATTAACCCATGTTTGTATAATGCAGTTAACTCTGTGTGTCGCTGCTAGCATACATAACACCTGACGTGGAAACGTTACTCGTGGATGGGGCTGCATATGTCTGACCGACAATGTCCAGTAAATTGACGATGAAAATATTTTTTCCCAAAGGTTCTAAACCCTACAAAGAGCTGGAGCTGATCGTCAAAAGCAAGCTGCTGTTGAAGGACATCGCTCGCCTGTCGCCTGCAGAACAAACGTCGTCTTTGGAGTCGTTTCATAAAGTGATTTTATTCTTTGCACCCAAGAGCGTGCATTTCCCATTCACTACTATGGCTGCCAGGTATTTCTAAAACTTCCGTTGCTCAAGGGATTGTGACGACCCCTCCACACCACGTGGTGTGTGTGTGTGTGTGTGTGTGTGTGTGTGTGTGTGTGTGTGTGTGTGTGTGTGTGTGTGTGTGTGTGTGTGTGTGTGTGTGTGTGTGGTGTGTGTGTGTGTGTGTGTGTGTGTGTGTGTGTGTGTGTGTGTGTGTGTGTGTTCAGGTGCTGATGAGCCGCACCTGTGGGCGGATGCCTATCTGATGAGCTGCACCTGGTAAAGCGGGATAAAGGAGGAGCCCAGGCGGTTGCGTCGGTCTCACTCCTCTGGGCACTTTCTCTGTACACTTGTTATTTCTGTTATTCTCTTACCCTTCGTACCCGGCTCCTGGGCGGCAACAAAAAGCAGGGAGGCGAGATGAAGGGTAAGAGAATAACAAGTGTTTATTCTCTTATTTACAATATAATGACAAAAACCAGCCACAGGTCCCCGAGGCTGGCACCGAGAAAGTGCCCAGAGGAGTGAGACCGACGCAACCGCCTGGGCTCCTCCTTTATCCCGCTTCACCAGATGCAGCTCATCAGATAGCCATCCGCCCACAGGTGTGGCTCATCAGCACCTGCAGCACCTGCAGCACCTGCAGCACCTGCAGCACCTGCAGCACCTGCAGCACCTGCAGCACCTGCAGCACCTGCAGCACCTGCAGCACCTGCAGCACCTGCAGCACCTGCAGCACCTGCAGCACCTGCAGCACCTGCAGCACCTGCAGCACCTGTAGCACACACACACACACACACACACACACACACACACACACACACACACACACACACACACACACACACACACACACCACACACACACACACACACACACACACCACACACACACACACACAGTGTGGAGGGGTCGTCACAGGATTTATTTTGGTGAATTGTCCTACACAATTTATATTATTATTTTTTGATGCAGAGTACAATTAGCCGGACTCCACTTCAATGAAAATTCTGCACGGACTCAAGCTATGACGCAGACCGGGAAACACATGTGGGGCGTGTCGTTTCTGAAGGCCAGGAGGGGAGAGCCAGTCATCAAAGCAGTCAAAGTTACACCAACTTTCGGTGAGTGTCTGCTCAATGTGCCTATCGCTAAGCTTTCAACAGGGCCCGAATGTGTTGTTTTTGGAATAATATTTTCCCCCCTGTTTGTCTTTTCAGCTTATGTGCAAGAACTGATGGGAGAGGTCGTTGAGCTGCGGAATACTTACCCTACCTACAAGAAGGCCGAAGCTCTGAGGTCAAACAGAGAAATCCCACCCCCAATTGCGTCAGCATTTTAAAAACCTAACAAGCTTGTGCTTGTTGGAGTACAGAGGAGCAGGAGTCGCTTTAATAAATAAATGGTGACATCTGTGGTGACCACACACACACACATACACTGGGTTACATAATCCACACATGGAACTACAGTGGGGGGTTTTGTTTCCACATGGACATGTATGTGGATCTCTATATATATTGTGTGCCCTCCTGTCAAATAAAGTCAACTTTTGTACCTCCATTGCACCGCCTGTGACTCCCTATCTCTCGGCACTACACATCTTTCTTTTTTGTACTGGTGCTCAAAATCAATTCATTTCATGTTGATCTTGGTTATACTTATGAGGGTTACCAGGGGGATACAAATATCTAGTTTATTTTGAGAAGACTGCTGTGGTCATGTTAGGTTTGAGGTCTGATATGAGTTATGCATTTAAATCCAGATGATTCAAAAATACTCTTCCGTTGAGCAGCTGGTCACTGGACAATAACTCTGGGGTGTGTTAAGAATTTCTGCTGTGTTTCTTTCAGAGTTCATATGGTGGTAAGCTACAGAGCCCTTTGCACTATTTTGTTCTTATAATAATAATTAATTAATTAAACACTATGTACATTATTTTGTTTGTTTTTATACTTTTGACCATACTGCACATAATGTTTTTCTTCATTTTATGCACAACTATTATACAATAAGACAACCATACACAAGTACCTTAAAGTAGGGCTGGGCGATTTTTTCGGTTTTCACGATTAATTTGCATTTTTACTTTCCTACGGTTTGTGAAATGGCTGAACCGAAAAATCGCGATTTAAAAACATTTCTAGACTCCGCAGATTTGTTTTTGCTTTAAGGGACTCCGTAGTAGCTTACTCGCTCACTTTCCAGAACGCGCCCAAAACTCAGCCACATTGCCTGTGACTACCCGATCTGCAGCTCTGCCCGATCTGCTGTTGTTATGCTGTGTTCGTTATTCTCGCGTCCAGGAGAGAAGCTTTAAAAGGAGACTAAATGGAGTCTCTGAGAAGGTTCAAATGGTGCTTTAATTAAAAAAGCTCTCGTGAGCGAAGGGAAGAGAGCGAGCTCCACCTCTCCAGCTGATATATCTCCTCCACTGGCTCGCTGTGGGCCGGTTGGCGCTGCTGGGGGCCGGCCCTCCACGTCTCCAATGTTCGTTGTTGAGCATAACAGAGGACTCCGACATTGTACATTAAATATATAACTAAACACGCCTGTTCTCCTCCTTATCTCTTTCATGACTTTTCATTTAATACATTTTAAACGCTGTAATCAATACTCCAAAAATACAGGAAATACTTCACGGCTGGTTTCATTTACGGTAGTTCCGGATGTTGTCTCATACTACTACCCACGTCTGTAAACAAACGTATTCAAATAAACTGTACCTTAATTTAATATTCAGCAATAATAATATCTCCACGTCTATAGTTGTAGTGTTGAAATCAGTAGGTTTCGGTGTGCAACACTCCGTGTCATATCGCTAATAAATTCACCTCTATAGTAAATGGTATATTAGCCACATGCTAAATGCTAACCGCCCGGAGATGAAGGATTTTCAGAATAAAACTGGTTGTGCACAAGAACTTCTAGTTTTTCAGTATAAAACAGCATTTAAACTGACGGTATGCGTAACATTTATGATATTAAAACACATTTTACACCTCACAGTAATGGGGCAGAAACCCTCCTTTTTACGCATTTTTTAAATCAATAAAATCATTTTCTAAATCCATAAAAGAAAAAAAACCAGAAAAAAATCGAGGTTTAAATAAAAAATTGTCCATTAGTTAGAAAAAAAAAAATCGCGATTTTATTTTTAGGCCAAATCGCCCAGCCCTACCTTAAAGTAATTCATGTAATTTATATTTACTGAATTTCGTGTTACACATTCACTTATTATTATTATTCACATATAGATAATACACAGATCATTCACTGATGGCTGGTTTAAATCCTGTGTAGGCAACGCCTTCAGGATTAGGAAATGCTTTCCTGATGGCCAGTACAGCGCAACTCGGAATTACACGTCTATTCCCACGGCCAAGTTTTTGCCAAATCAGGAAGCAAAATCGCCGGTACGCCAGATGCCTGTAGACTTCATGTTCCGGTTCTTCGTCACCATACGGCCCATTGTGGTGGGCGTACTCATACCGGGACACACGCAGCACATCACGGTCCAGACAGTTTATGTCGAACGTCCTACAGTCGGTGATGCAGACTTCTTCTCCCATCTCTTCCTTCACTTTCCCGTAGTTGTGGCAGCACTTGTTTTCTCGGCTTGTAGGCATGGTCTGGCAGTTTCCACATCTACACCAATTCTCAGCACCCTCGGCCTCTTCCTCAGATGGCGAACTTGAATCATCACCATCAGCACTTTCATCGGTGATATCAGGTGACGTTTCCTTGTATTTCCTCTTCGACATCAGAGGCTCGTAGAGATAGGGTTGGATGTCGACAACATACTCCAGATATTGGGTGGCCTCCGACTCAGAATCAGACATGATAAGCCGGGTGGAAATATGTTAGGCATTGAACAAATTCCCATCCACCTCATCCTTGTGAGGTGAGTCCGCCTGGAATTTATTTTTCTAAACCTCTCTAAAAAGGTCAAATTTCACTTGTTTTGCATCAATCTTGATACAGGGTACTTATTATATGTTATAGTTTGGATTCCTAAAGCTTTTAGTCTATAGTCTACTCAGAATCAGACATGATAGACGAAACTAGTTGTACTATCGGCGGAAGCCGCTGTGATTGATAAGCCAGGTGGAAATATGTTTGGCACATCTTACGTCACGCGCCGCCATCTTGCGGAGGAGCGGCGGAGAAAATAAATCGTCGGACTTGGTGTTGGGGGTTGAATAAAATTAATATTGCGCATTGCCAGACTCATATTATCTCCGATTTTAATACTGCAATATCTTAGATAGTGTTGTAGCTATATGATTTCGATTGTACTGGCAATTATACAAAAAGCTTTGCATTTGATCTTTAACAATGCATACAGTAACCTAACTAGCAAACTAACTATCTAACGTACAAGAATGACTATTTTACCAACCTCGCACAGAAGCCTTTTGGTATACAGTAGCATCCCACTTAATGTTTATACTTCTCTATTACGTTTAACTTGGATGCTACGCATAGCATCGTTAGCACAGATGGAGCTACCGATTGCTCAAATGCTAACCCAACTCTAAACATTCATTAACGTTAGCTTAATAAAAACAACAGTAACATAACGTAAAGTATGCAGGGTTGACTTACCGAAGAAACTGCATTCATGGACGGTCTGTTTTAACCGCAGATAAATCCTATATTTGCATGAAGAATAGTCCACCAGGAACCAACACAATAAACACGGCCGAGTTCAAGTAGTGTTGTCCTCATGAGCTGAGCCCCTGTAGCATCACGGAGCTAACGGAGCTAGGAGCAGCAGTCCCGTTGTCGTGAAGGGGGAATCTAACTATACAGAACAGTGTTTCCCCTAGGATGGAGTAGCATGAAGCTGCAGCGTCGGAAACAGCAGTTACAGGACCGCACCACGTGACGGAGCACGTTCACATTCATGTGAACGTCAACGCAGAGAATGTGAGTAATGTGAAGTGCTTTTAAAGTTTTATTTGTTTAACATTAATAACAATTCCGGTGTCTTGAAATGAAGTGTGATTAGCTAACATTAACTATGATAGTGTTAAGGCAAGACAAACAAACATCTGTTTGCTTATGATAGCTTCTAACCGTATTCAAGTCTCTAAAAACAACTATTCGTTAGCTATAGCTTTCGGCAAAAGCATTAGCAAAAGCATTAGCTTCGTTAGCATATTTGATAATTTGTTTAATGAAACTAGCGTGATTTTGGCAAGCCCAACTAGGTGTCATAGTTGAGTAATTTAATCACTAATTACAGTAAGAGTGTGAGTAATGTGAATCATGTTGTTTTTTTAAAGTTAACAACTATTCTGTTGTATTGAACAGCCATACAAGCAACAAGTGCTAAATGTCATCTGTTAGCCTATGATGACTCGCTGCAAAACCAACTGTTTTGTTTATTTGTTTAATGAAACCGTATGTTATGGTTATGTTATTTGACAGAGGCTTTTATCCAAAGTGACTCACAAAAAACATAAAATAACCATAATTAACATTAGAATTTCAATACAAATAGTTACATAGTCAAGTTACATTACTTATTACATTTGTAACAGGGTAATTAGTCATCTGTAACTACATTTTTAAAAAAGTAAACTTCCCAACCCTGATGATTAATTATAGTCAGCTAATTAATTAAACTTCAACGGATGACAAAAGCATGTCAATATGTCCACTACATTAAATCAGCAGTAGCCTAAGTTCTGTCTTCAGTGTAAATGCTTCTTTAATAGTCATTGTATTACAATTTGAATTCATTGTAAATAATCTTCACTGTGCTGACTGCCTGTTTACCGTTTATCAGACAGTCTCATCATTTCGACATGTTTTGTAATATTGCATGAGGTGTTTTAGTCAGTTATGTCGGCCTATTATGTAGGTTAGAATCTGTCGTGTCAGAATCAAACAATTAGGCCTAATTTATGTCTGTCTGTGAAATTGTTTCAAAATGTTCAGTTTGACCAATTAGGCTCTCTCTTTTTCAAGATGCATATTACAATCCGAGAGGGGAGATCCTTGCCCGACTTACAGCGATGTACTACATGCTGCAAAGACTTTCACTGCCCGTTATGTGCCTCAAATGTATTCCACCCAGCCAAATTGAGCAAGGTCCAAGCCCATTTAGATATAGATCATATCTGTTGAGATTATTAATGCATATCAATTGTGCACCAATGCCTTAGCCTTTCCCTATGCAATACTTTAGATGACGTCTTGTTCTTATTGTTTCAAAGGCATGGCCAAAGGTTTGCCTTCTGGACTCTGGAGGCCAGAAGCTTGCTCGAGGGAACCCTTCAACCAGTGTTCAGAGTGCCTCGACAGAGTGCCAGAAAGGATATCTCCCAGGAGAAGGTGGCCATTGGCATATTGCAGGCCTGTATTTACAATTGCTTTAGTTTTGACAGTAGAGACAATAACAATAGAGACCTCAGGGCTCGACATTAAGGACTGCCCGATGGCCCGGGGCCATCTAGTATT